ATCTTAACCTCTTTAATGATCTAGTCTGCACTGGTGAGCATCAGGTCTAGTAATGCTTCACGTCTGGTTGGTACGTCCCACGCCTGGACCAGGCAGTTATCCACAAAAGACTCTAGGAGTCTCTTGGATTGTTTGCAGCCCGCTGAGGTGTTTTCCCAGCAGGTGTCTTGCTAGATGAAATCGGGATGAGAGCCTGCGAGCATAACGCATTGTGCAACTAAAGCAAGAAGGCCTTCTCAACAGCCTCCCCTTGATCAGGCAGCCTGCAGTACATCTCAACTACCAAACGTCCTTTTTTGATCTGGTCACTAATTTTAACTCACCATTTCTCAACACGGTCATGGTTGTTTCTCAGGGACAGCTCTTCACAGTCTATCCATTTCTTAATGTAGTGAGTAACTCCCTTGCCCCTTTTGCCTTATCTCTTCTAAAAAGCTTGCTGCCCTCAATCACAGTATTTCAGTTGTGTGATCTGACTCATCATGTTTATGTGATATCAATTAGGTCATAGTTTTCTAATTGCATAATGGCTACCAACTCCTGCTTATTGCCCATGCTGCATGCACTGGTGTAGAGGCACTTCAGCTGGGCTACTGGCCATGTCACATTTTTGGAGGAGCCCTTCAAATCCCTCTGGGACAAATCTGAGGTTTTTCCCTGCTTCTTCCTAAAGTGACAGTGTTCTCTGGTTCTTCTTTGTCACTAAGTGGTACATCCCCTTTTCACAACAAATCTAGTTTAAAAGTTTAGTGATAAGCCCAGCCAGCTTGCTGCCTAGTATGTTCTTGCCCTTCCTGATCAGTTGTGTCCCTCCCAGCACACCCAGTGGGAAAGAGCCAAGGAAGAAAACATCAAGTAGCTATGGCACTACCATAACTACATACCAATTTTCCCAATTTTTTTGATGCCCGAAATCTCTTAAATTCTGACAACTTTCATTTCTTCATTCATTAGTTAATGGTGTGTTCAAGCATTGAAACCTGCATGCTTGGCAAGAGGTTACAATATAGATTTATCGTTTTTGAAGGTTAACCAATGGGCTCTTAGGAAGTTCTGTCTTTCCACAAAACACCAGGTAACAATCCAAAATGTCTGATCCTGTGGGCTGAGAAAATAAATGTAAATATGGTTGGAGTAAATGGAGTGACATGCTGGGCTTATTGACTACTCCTCTCTTACAGACCTATTTCCAAATATTCTGAAGGAAAGGAGAGTGGCAGTTTGCTTACTAGAGAGTAGAAGACCAAGCAGTATCACAAGCACCAAACACCTCTGGTAAAGTACTAGCTCTGCTACATGCCACAGAAATGACAAATGAAAAAGTTTTGAGTTATTCTTCACTGTTAGGCAAAAAGATGCTTCCTTGTGGTCATAGTGACAACGCATGAGACAGTAATGGCCAAGGCCAGTGCTGTTAGAGCAAATGCTAGCAAAAATAAAGTCAACTTTATGAGTCAAAGTAGCAATGCAGGACAAGGTGACCATATCTACTGTATTCTATGCAGTCTAAAAAGTATACAGATGAAGGTCCTCTCTCTTCAGGTCTTCAACCTATAAAGCCTCTTCAGGTGACTCTTTCTCTGCAACAAAGTCACTGTTAGAAAAAAAAAATTCTTGCAATTATTTGATAGGCCTCACTGGCAGGCAGTGTTTATTTTTTTCTTTTGTTCAGAGGATAAGTAGTTATGTTCTCTGGAAATAAAATCATCTCAGTAAGTGTCAGAAAACAGTTTGTATGGCTGAAACCTTGCTAGCTATAGGAACAGATTAACATGAATTACTAGAATAGGTTTTCTACATTCCCTATTTTCCCTATATTCCTTACATGTACAATACCATTTATGGTATGATTTATAGAGCAACATCATCATGGCATTACAAGGATAAATTCAGACTATGATGAAAATCTAGAATATAGTTTGTAGGTGTTTTCCAAAAGGGAGAAATGACAACACGAGTATTCAGATTATCTTGGCCATAGTGATAGCAAAATAGGCCCTCCTCAGTATTTTGAAACACTAACAGAATTGGAATTTTAGCTGGTTCTTTTTGTTCATCTGTTTTGTGTTCTGTTGTTTCTTTGGGTGTTTTTTTTTTTCAACTCAGAAAATTACCTGTAATCTGGTTTTACACTGACTAAGATGTAATAATATATAGTTCAACATACCAAAGTTTAAGCATTTCAGATTATTTTTTTTTAATTTATCAGTTCAATCTCTTATAGTTTATCACTGCAAAAGCTTGAACTCTAATGATAACTGAGGTAAATTCATGATCTGAAAATTCCTGGAGATTTCATCAGAGGCAGTTATGAGACAGTGAAAAAAATGAGGAGAGATTTTGAAAGAAAGACAAGTTATGTTGGTAGCCTTTGCCTGCAATTTTAGAAACGATAGGTAAGTTATACGAAGAAGGAAAAACCTCTCCTTCAGGCTTGTTAGTGCAGATCAGACACAAACCTGACACACTCAAAATTCTATTTAAGCCTCCACTGAAAGAGAAGACTAGAATATAGTATCAGAGCAATCAACTTCCTGGGCCAATAATTTTGACACAAATGTACCTGCACAAAAGGTATACTCTGTTTCCAAGCTTTATGGACAATATTAACTTATTCAAACTAACCCCACACTCTGATATAAGCTATTTCTGAATGAAAAACAATGTTATGAGCACTGTTGTCTTGCACACTGATGAACATAACCTGAATTATTACACGCTCATGTAAAAGTAAAGTGCATAAATTGCATTAAACTTAGAAGATTAAAACAAAAACAAAAATATTAGAATATATCCGTGACCCAGGACAAAATTGCCCTTTCAACAGTACAGCTCAATGCATAAATCATAAAGGAAATCATAATCATAAAGGAAAGTCTACTAAATCCATGCTCATCAAATACTTTTACAATTCATAGCATTTCCTTTAAAAAGTGATCTAAGTTACATCTTTTTCTACAAGAAAACTGGAAGGATTTAAATTAACCCCTTATTGACATATAGTAATAGCCGTATCTCATATTCCAGACAGAGGTCAAACAAGTTTACCAGGAAAAGTCACGTAGCTTCAATATTAGCAGTGCTATAGCAGCTGTTAAGGGGGATTGCTGTGGCAAACATCAACACTACCCACCCATTTCTTATTCTAGTGCAGAAAATTAATCCAGGGACACACAGTATCCCACTATTTGCCTGTGTAGTTACAGGCAGTGACAACTTCTTCCAACACCAAGAAGTACATGATGAGATCAAATGGAGAGGATACAGTCATAGACTAGCATACTTCTTATAGGGATCAAGGTATACTTGTAAGATTGATAGAACTAGAAGCAATGAATACCCGTGCTCAACTGTCACCAAACCAGTAAGTGCCAAGCCAGCTTTTTAGAAGAAGAAACAATTACTGTAGTCACACAGTATCCTCAAATAGCTGAAGTTACAAGGCATAAATGTTAGGTCATCTTTATCCTTAACAGCTTTTTGGAAGAAAAAATTTGAAAAAATTAAGTACACTGTTGCACAGGGAATGCAAAAAAGATAAGAGAGGCTGCTTGTTCACTAAAAGGTTCTAGAGAAGTAGCCTTTGCAGCTAGCCTATCTCAACAACTCAAAACTGAAATTTATTGGTACACAGCCCTTATTTCTCTCACATTTTTCACTGAAGAAAGGTATTATGTTTAGATAATGTCCCTTGTTCACTGAGCTTGCTTAACTTCAGTTCACTACCTAAGGTGTCTGTCTGTAAGAAGTGTCTCAGAAAGTGCATGAAGTACCATGAGTTTGTCAACAGCAGTTTTTCTTTCTGGAATTTCACAGAAGAAACAACTGAGAAATACTTTTTCATTTCTGCCAAGGTTTTTACTTGCACAAAACGTAGTTTTATCCCAGTCAGATTTCTACGTGTCTCCCTCCATTTCATATACATGGCATGGGTAACCTGAGCTAGCCTTTATCAGACACCAACATTAGTTCATGATCTCTCCTAACAGTTCAACAGCAACTCTGCATAAAGATCATCAGGTCCTGAGATGAGCAAGATTTAACTTTGAAATTAGCCCTGTTTTAAGCAGGAGGTTTGGTCCAGAGAACTCCAGCTCTTTCTCATCTAAATAATTCTGCTATTCAGTTGAGAAAAGTTGTTCATAAAGTTCTTCATAAAGTCCTAGGGCCAATAATATTCCACTATTCTCCTTGGATGATGTTTGGAAACACAGTGATGGCAGACAAAATAATTATATAAATATCAATATACATAGGTTGCTCTGAAAGTAATGTCTCCTACTTATTTTCATGCAAATGATAACAACTACAAAGAGCACAAGAATACTATTTCATAGCATAAATTCTCATCTACCAAACACTAACTTTCAACACAGTCACCACCATTAGCTGTGCATTTTCACCATCAATGAACAAGAGCCTGCATGCTGTGCTCGTAAAAATCTGCACCAGCAGAAGTGACACACTATGGTTGTCACCACTGCTGAAATGCACCACCCACCGCCTCCCTGAGCTCACATTCGCTGTTTGATCTCCATAATTGTTCAGCAAGCGTTGATGAATGTCAGTGGGTGCCATTCTACTGCATGGATGAATTCAGTGACACAACTTTATTTCACCTGCACTCCCATGTCAGATGTCATTTTGTCAGACTGCGCCTCTGCTGCCATCTTTCCCATGGCAACAACATGTAATGGAATATTGGTGGGAAGTTTCAATCTCTATTTCCATACCATCACCTTGTGCCTCTGTCTTCATAGGCCAACATAACAAAAGATAGGAAGCATTACTTTTGGAGCAGCCCCTGTATGTTGATATACATAAATATGAAGATATCGAAGTCTGAATTTATGATAGTAATGATTATCTGTATTTCATGGTACTTGAGAGTTAAACGGGCTCCCAAATAGCATGTTCCTTTACCAAAAAAAAAAAAAAAAAAAAAAGAGCATTCTGAAGACAGCAATGAAAGTCACAAATACAAAAAAATCTGCACTTACAGTTCTATTGCTTTGTTCCACATGATAACATATCCAGAAAGAATGAAGGACTCGATATTTACAATGTGTGTATTTCCCCGCTCTGTTCCAACATAAAGCCATTTACTCTGGAAAGGTAGATGGCAGTAAGTAATTCTGCAAAGGAAAAACAGAACAAACAACAAAAAAAAAACTGACTGAACACCATATCAACAAATTTTTAAATAATTCTAGAGAGAAAATAACTTTTCTTTCTGTTTTAAAACTTCAAGAAAGCACAGCATCCTGAAGAATGTCCAGTTTTGGATATCTTCTGCAGAAAAACATCCAGTTTTATTAAGAACAGGGTAAAAATGTCATATCACTTCACCATCATTCATACAAGAAAATGTTCACTTCACTGGCTGTTTGGGAGAATAGGGCACTAGATAATAGCATTACCGAGTGCAGTTAAACATTATATCATAGACAACTGAATCCTACGTTTGTATCATTCCTACAGGGTGATGAGCCAGTAACGTATTAGCTTGGAAAACATCAAGACAGTTTCACATGATAATATAGAGAAATTTTCAGAGTAATGTTGAATCAGTAGATTCAGGCTCCTTTCATTATTATAGTTATTATACAGATATTGAATACATACAAGCAAAAAAAAAAAAAAAAAAAAAAAAAAAAAAAAAAAAAGGAGATATAAAACCATCTGCTGCTAAAATACTATCTACATAGGCTGAAACTTCATCTGATCTGGTGATACTTTTTCTCAATAATTTTGAGAAAAAGTGATTATTTTGCCTGCTATGCCATATGTTACTATATTTAGCATTTGATTCCACAATCAGGCTATTTCCAGCTTTTATATACAAGCTCGATGTAATCACTATGCAATAATCTTTGTTCCTAACATCTCCCTTCCCCATAAACAAAAAGCATTCAAGACAATAAATATTTCAATTTCTTATTCTTATGCTAGAACAATCTGAATTCATTGCAAAGGAATGAGATGGAAATCTTGTTTTCTTGATTCAAGTGACACTCAAGTATGATATAAACGTTGTTCTCTCCATTTGCACAAGGCTATATTTTCTCATTACTCACCTAATTTTGGCAATAATTCCACTGCCTTTAGCTGGGAACAAACCAAGTTTTTCAAGAGAACTGATTTGGGAGTGAGAACTACAGTTTAGCATGCATAAATGAAAATACTTTCAAGGCAAAACTTTGTACTTACACTGTGAGCACAGTCAAATCAACAAGTATCTGACAGAAAAAAAAATGCAGGAGATTTATGCCACCAACATATTCCTTGCTGGAACCTGTTAGCTTCATTATTCTGTTCATAAAAGATTCAAAGAGCAATCTGCTCTTTTCACTTCCTAGTTTTACAAATGCGAAGCTTGTTTTTATGCCTCCCTTGATACTTCAAACATCTCAATTTCTCCTGCCTTTTCTCAGCAGCATCATTTGCTACACTTTGGTTAGATTCATACTGAGCCTGAATTTTTATCTGCTGTGTTTCTATACTAGCTCTACTTCTCTTTCACACACTCCACAGCAGCATATGTGTGCTCTGTTAGGTTACAGCCCATGCAAAAACCTCGCTGAGAAACACTCACTTCATATTAATGTTCATTCAGCACTTGCTTGTAGTAAACTTTTATGTTGTAAGAAGATAAAACATTTGTGACTTTGAAAGTGTTGAAAATGTGGCTCTCTTGAGACTGAGAAATAACAAAGTTACAAAAAGTGACTTCTAGCTGACTTGAATACTTCCAGTCCAAATTCTTGCAGTTGAGTTGTCAGCCTAAGCAAGTTCAAGTCTAGGATCACAATGAATTTCAGTACTCAGATAAATCAATTCACAAGCAAGAAGTGGTTTATGGCAGAAAACTTGATCTCGAAAGCACAAGGCTGAATCCAATAATACAATGTTGAAATATAGTCTCAAAATCACCACAGACAATGCTAGACCACTTTGGTTTTCCTTTTAAAATCTGTTTCTATGTTATAATCTCCAGTATGTTCTGCTACAATAATCATCAAATCAAACAGGTGTCTAATGTTCCAACTATTGTATTACCTTCATTTGCCTATCTTGAGTTTAAAATTTCAAGGACATAATGTTTCAACAGCAAGATCTTGATTGTAAAAGCAGAATCAGACTAAAGTAATCATAGAATGGCTTGTGTTGGCAGGGACCTTTAAGATCATCTAGTTCCAAGCTCCTGCTGTACGCAGGGACATCTCCCCCTAGACCAGGTTGCTCAAAGCCCCATCAAGCCTGGCCTTGAATGCTTCCAGGGAGGGGGGCATCCACAGCCTCTCTGGGCAACCTGTTCCAGCGTCTCACCACCCTCACAGTGGTGAATTTCTTTCTAATGTCTAGTCTAAATCTACCCTCTTCCAGTTAGAGCCATTTCCCCTCATCCTGTTGCTATCTGTCCTTATAAAAAGTCCCTCTCCAGCTTTTCTGTAGGCCCCCTTCAGGTACTGGAAGGCTGCTGATAAAGTCCTCCTGGAGCCTCCTTTTCACCAGGCTGAAGAACCCCAACTCTCTCAGCCTGTCATCATAGGGGAGGTGCTCCATCCCTCTGATCATCTTTGTGGCCCTCCTCTCGACCTGCTCCAACAGCTCCATGTCCTTGTGCTGGGGGTCCCAGAACTGAACGCAATACTCCAGATAGGGTCTCACGTGAGCAGAGGGGCAGAATCACCTCCCTCGACCTAATGATCATGCTTCTCTTTATTCAACCCAGACTACAGTTGGCCTTCTGCAAACACACATGTTGAGCCTTCATGAACAGAAACCCCAAATCCTTCTCCTCTGGGATGCTCTCAAGCCATTCTCTGCCCAACCTGTATCTGTGCTTGGGATTGCCCTGATTCAGGCGCAGGACCTTGCATTTGGCCTTGTTGAACTTCATGAGGTTGGCATGGGCCCACTTCTCAAACCTGTCCAAATCCCTCTGCATAGTATTCCTTCCCTCTTGTGTGTCAACTGCACCACTCAGCTTGGTTTCATCTGCAAATTTGCTGGAGTGCACTCAATCCCACTGTCCACATCGCCTACAAAAATGTTGAATAGCATCAGTCCCAGCACTGATCTCTGAGGAACACCACTCATTACTGATCTCCACCTGGACACTGAGCCGTTGACCAGAACTCTCTGAGCGTGACCATCATCACTGACCAACAGTTACAAGAATTATTTTCCCACTGGTCTACCTGATATCCAGCTGCAGTAGCTACTTGTATCTAGGATATATAGTATGATCAACCAGAAGAGAAAGAAATGTTGCTAAAGAATGAAGACAATAACAAAAAAAATTACTATTGTCTTAAGCTCAGTTACTTCCTCTTTAATAACTTCATTTTGTTCTGATTGTCTTACAGGACAGCCAGATAAGAAAATATTATTTGCATACCTTCTTCCACGATGAAAACTACACCATGAATTTTCTACTAGCAAGACCACCCTAGCTATCTCTAAAAAGAAAAGCAGAAAACTGTAAAATAACCCCAAAAAACACTAAACCACCAGAGACATAAAAAGACTGTACTCAAAACAGAAGCATAGTTATATACACTGTATGTAACCAATATACTTTTAAAATTAAATGCTTACTAGAGCACAGAGTTATGGAATTATTAAGCATTTTAATACAATACAATGTCAGGCTTCACTAAACAAAGCCATATGATTTTCATGCTGTCAGAAAACTATGCAATGCATAGTTTTCTTTTATATTATGTAGTAATTTAGTTTCCTTTTTCATTATGTAAATTAAATGCATACTACTTTATGTACTATTGACTTTTCACTTTTACAGAGAATATTAACTTCTTTAAGGCTTGAAAGCTTTGAATTGAGACTCAGGTTTTTAAAGATCATCTTGTATTTCAGTAAGTACACAACAATTTCTTCAACAGAAAACAATACTGTCTCATACTATTGTTTTTATTCTGGATGAAAGGAATCCTTGTATTAGACATATATGCCAGAAGCAAATTACAATGTCTTTTGACACCTCTACAAAAGATCAACTTACCAGTAAAAAAAAAAAAAAAAGGCTATTTTTCTTCTTAAGAAGGTAGGTTTGAAGTGATTTATGCAAGTATGAAATGTTTCTGCAAAATTTTAATCAGATTGTCAATCTGATTGAGGTAATACAGAATCCAATTAAATGGAGACTTCAGGATCTGCTCAATATTGACCACTTACAGAAAGCCACCCTGAACTGTGGATATTATACATTCTTAGCATCAAGCCAGCATCAAAGATATGGTACAAATAAGGTATAAGGTATGAATCCAATTGATCATGATAAGAAATAGTGAGAAACATGAGATGATATCTTGAAAGGTGTTCCTGTGCTGCTCAATGTGTTAAGATCTATCAGTCTTTCAACGTAACCAAATCCCAAAGTAGGACATAAAATATAATAAATTAAAAAAAAAAAATAGTAATATCAGTCAAAATGTATTTAAGTCTTGAGATTGCTTCTAAACTTATGTAAGCAACATAAGAGAAATAACGGTGTAATTTTGAGAGGCACTGTCAAAAATTTAAACCTCATTTTAAAAGGAAGGAACGTACTCTGAGTAGCAGCCCTTGAAAAGGTGTATTTTTCAGAATGCACTGCACAGTCTAACAACTCTGACCAAAAAAATTGTGTATGAGTATAATACTGAAATGTTAAAATAATTTAGATTGCTACGTTCTCTGAAATACTAGTAAGAACACTTGGATGGCTTAAAATATTTTTTTTTTTACAAAAATGATACTCTTCTAAGAAAAATAAAATATGACTTCCAGGACATTTACTTCTATCTCTGTTGTATCATTTTTTTCTGTTTTTAATTTGAAAAATTTTCCTGGAATACTTTTCCTGGGGTATGGGTTCAGAAGGAGGGAGAAAAAAATTCATTTCTGTCGAAATGAGGAACAGTTTTTCCAATTTAATTATCTAAATTGCTCGTCACTTTACATCAAAATTGCAATTGAATTTATACTACACTTTTTCCTCTTGTATTGATAATCTTATGTATGGAAGAACAAAGAACATGCGCAGCCCTTATGCCTAACACTGAACGGTTGAAGAAGGGTTTTTTTTCTGTAAGCTCCTAGTAAAAACAAAATGTTGCACGGATATTCT